AAAAAAAAAAAAGAAATAAACTTGAAAGCTAACCCTTAATGATTCTTTGTACAGTTTTGTCAGCCACAATGTGCCATCAAAAGCCTGGGGAAGACAACATTTCTGAGCCAAAAACAGAAGTGTAACTAAGATGTAGGGAGCTCGGGTGGCTTGGTAGTAAGGAGTTGTGCTGCCAACTCAAAGGCACATAGTTCAAATCCACCAGCTGCTCTGAGGGAAAAAGATGGGCCATCTGCTCCCATGAGATTTGCAGTCTCGGAAAGCCCACTAGGGGGTCATTTATGAGGCAGTTCTAAGTTGACAGTACATTAATAACAAACTCAAATCTGTTGTGATATGAAGATCCTAAAGTGCGGGGAGCACAGGAGCAGGCAGCTCGACTTGGCTATGAAGAGAAGAAAAGGATAGAGACGACAATCTGGGTTTATTTACTAGCATCTTTATTTCCCCAAATGCAGAGTGGCTTACATAAGAGGTTATTAAAGGTTTTTACTATTTGTAAAATATTGGTAAATTTATTAATGGTTATTTACGATTTGTTGTTGCTGTTGTTATGTGCTGTCGAGTCGCTTGCGACTCATAGCGACCCTACGTACAAAAGCCCTACAGCCTGCTCTATTCTGTGCCAACCTCATTGTCTCTGACATATCTACTCCCATTTTTGCCTCCAAGGAACTTTCTGGTTGCACTGTCTCAAGATACCTGTTTGTTCTTTTGACAGTCGATGGGATATCCAATACCACAACTCAAGCCATCAATTCTTCTTCTCTCTTCCTTGTTCACTGTCTAGCTCTCAGATGCATAGTCATGTGGTCGAAAAGACCATGGCCTGAGTCAGACACACTTTAGTCTTCAGAGTGATATCATCGCTTTTCAGTATTTTGCAGAGATCCATGACAGTAGACTTGCCCAATGGCATACACCTCTTGATATCTTGACTGCTGGTAGCAATGGTGTTGATTGTTGAACCACACAAGATGAAATCATTGACAACTTCGGTCCTTTCACCGTCTATTTCAGGCCTTTCTCAATCTCAGGACTAGCATCCTCGGGCCTTATACCAAGAATCAGCACCAAAGATCCAGCTGAGCCACTGTCTGTGCCAAATCCTACTATCCAATACCCCATCCTGCTGTGCTGCCAAGGGCCTCCAGTGGGGCTAGAAAAGGGTATGCTGCATCATGATTTTTGTCTGCTTCGAAATCTTTATACTTTGCTGTTAGAGGTACAATACTCACCTGTCAATTCCTCATATTGCGAATGATTTCCATATTGCTACTTACTTGACATCTTAAGTGTGTATGTGCTCATTTATTGTTTGCGCTTAGCAGGATAACATTTGTCTGTCAGTCTGCTGTACTGGTATAACTTATGGGTTGCTGTAATGCTAGAAACTATGCCACAGGTATTTCAAATGCCAGAAGGGTCATCCATGGGAGACAAGTTGCAGCAAAGGTTTATATTAAGGTTATATTAAGACACATTAGACATATGAGGAAGAAGAATTATTTCTAAAATAATGGGCCTGTGAAAATCTGATTATAAGTCCTATGTATTTACATAGAGAAAAAGGAGTTCTGGTAATTTAGTGGTAAGGGTTGCATTGCCAACCCAAAGGCATGCAATCCAAATCTACCAGTTGTTCCACAGGAGAAAGGCCAATCTCTCATACAGTTTACTGCCTCTGAAAATCCACTGGAGGGTCACCTATGGAACAGTTTCAACTCGACAGTACACAACAACAATACATAGAAAGACTAAAAGCTTTGCTGAAATACACTTTGTTCACCATAAAATTTGCCCATTTAAAGCACAAACAGCACATTTCATCATCATCCCAAAAAGGAAATCTCTAGAGTAACCAATTACCAATTGAGCCTCACTCACTTTCTCCAAGCCCTTGCATTGTTGAACTGTTTGGTGCTGTTGAGTTGATTCTGACTCAGTGACCTTATATGAGAGAATCACACTGCCTCACAGTTTTCTGGTCTTTCGCTCAAAGAGCTGATGGGTGAGCTCAAGCCACCTAACTTAGTTAGCAGGTGATCACTACACTTCAGGGCTCCTTTCCCTGCACTATGGTTAGGTGTTATAGAATCAGTCCCTGTGGAAAACAGAACCGCACACTGTCTAGTTCCTATGTTGTTAGGTGCTGACAGACCCTACAGACAACAGAATGGACCACTGTCTGGCCCCATACCAGTTTCGTGATCCTTTGTGATCTCTTGCATCTACTCACCCACTGACTGTCAGGGAGTTGATGCCAACTCTTAACAACCCTCCACTGGGTTTCCCAGGTTGCAAATCGTAATGGAAGGAGAGTGTGCATTTTGCTGTTACACAGATCCTAGCTAGGAGATTCTCCTGCATAGGCCATCATTAAGCTACTTCTTCTATCTGTACATTTGCCTGTTTTGCCCATTTTATAGAAGGGATATTGAACAATGCACGGTCTTTAGTGACTTCTTTCATTTGTCATGTTTTTAATGTTCATCCATGTTGTAACATGCATTGATTCCTTAATCTTCTCTTACTGATGAATGATTCTCTCTTATTGATAAATGATTCTCTAGTAAGCGAATGTGTCACATTTTGCTTATCCACTCATTGATTAAGTTGGCTGTACTGGGATAACTTGTGGGTTGCTGTGATACTGGAAGCTATGTCATTGATGTTTTAAATGCCAGAGGGGTCATCCATGATGGAGAGGTTTCAGCAGAGTTCCCAGATTAAGAAAGACTAAGAAACAGGATTGGTCATGTACTTATAAAATTACAGGTCTTTGAAAACCCTATGAACAACAGAGGAGCATGAGTAACTATAGTATAGAAATAGAGCCCGAATTGGAAATGTGGTGTTAAAGGTTAATTGTTCAAAATTCTTTCCCTAGCCATTGACTTTGACTTGGCCAAGTATACAGGTGGGAATATGTGAATATGGAGTGAAAGCCTTCCAATAAGAGGACTGAGCAGATTCAGTGGTAGACTTTTTTAATCTTACCACCAGCAAAGGTGAAGCAAGCATGCTAATGTGTGCCCTTTGGTGCCAGAGATTCTTACACCAGCTAGACCTCCAGCAGCAACAGCCTAGGTTGAAGCGGAGAACCAGAGATTCGACATGAGACAAAGCTGATCTTGGAACCAGAGTTAAAGGCTTTTGCCTAAGTTTGTTGGAAGACTGGAAGAGAGAGAGGCGTAACTGGCAGGACTGAGAACTTTGTAATACTTGCCTAAAGCCACAAGAGTGAGGTGCCTGTGAGCACATTTCGGAAGCTCTCCTGAGTGATTGTATCCACTACCAACTTGAATTACAGCCTTTTGACTTCCCTTATATGGTTCTATGTAGTCAAAAGTCACTGCAACATATTTTGGACTCGGTCGGGCAGTAAGATTAATGTTGGGGTGAGTAGAAAGAGGTGCAGGAGGACAGAAGGTACCTAGCTTCATGGGAATTGGTTTTGTGTTGTGGGTACTGTTAATGGGGAGTATTTCCTCTCCCCATGGAGAGGGGTTGGAGGAGTTTAGATATAGCTGTCCCATACCAGCCTTGTTCTTTAGACAGGAAATGACTCAAAAGGAAGAGAAACAACTGCAAGCATCCTTTAATAACTGGAAAGTGGAATATATGAAATATGAAAGTAGAAAATCTGAGAGGTCACAAAGACAACCATGGAGCTCATAAATTCCTTGACACCACTAGACTTTTCTCCTTAATTCTACTCACATACTCAGAAACATGATCAAAAGTCAAGAGAAATGTAAATTCTTAACTATGTTAGCCTGGTCGATGCTAAAGCATGCATAAGCACATGGATCCATCCAATTCTTCCTGGCCATCTCTTGTCTTTGACCTTGATGGATACAACTGTTTTAGAAAACCTTGAATTAGCCACACCCACCACTAGTAATTACCTTCACAAGAAACAAACTCGCAGAATATTCTTAATCCAATGTTATACATACTTTACAATTTTAGCAAACACAAGCCAATGATAAAAAATTCAGTAAATAACATTTAAACTAAAGTTAGATAAAAATAATATTCCTATCAAATAGCCTTCCAAAGATCCACAATAAATTGCTCATTCAACCACTTCTGTCATATACAATTGTCTTTTAACTGTATTTTTTATTTAGACTTACCTCTGCCACTCGGTGGGTAGAACTAAATCGAGGTTGTGAACCAGCCAAAACACAGTGTTGGTGAGTAGCATTGAGATCATCTGTAGAAAATATGGAATTTAAAAAAAACAAAACCAAAAAAATAAACATTTATTAGTCACTATAAATATTTAACAGAAATACCAATGTATCAGAAATACAAATCTGTCAAGAAAATTACATTATCAAAGAATTAACATTTACTTAGCATTCTTTTAGGGAGTTCTGGTGTTCTTTTTTAAAAAACCCACTCTGATGGCTTAGTGGTAAGAAGTTGTGCTGTCAAGCCAAAGATACGTGGTTCCATCCTCAATGGTACCTAACAACAACAAGGCTTCACTCATCTTTTTTAATTTTTCTACTTTCAGAAGTAATTGAAAATATCATGGCTTGGGCTCTTTACTACTTTGGAGAGGTCCATGACAGTAGATTTTCTCAACAGAACACATCTTTTATATGTGGCAGTTCCTTGTCAACATACTGTTCCAGCCATTTTTTACTAATGTTCAGCAAGATTCTACTTGCATGTGGTAATGATGATACTGTTAGATAATTTCCACATTCTGTTTATTTAATCACTTTTTTTTTTTTAGGAATGAGGACAAATATAACTCTTTCAGTCAGCAGGATACACTGCTGTCTTCCATCTTTGTCGGCAGAGACGGAAGAGCACGGCCAAGATTGCATCTGATTACTGAAACACTTCAGCTGGATTCCATCAATTCCTAGGACTTTATTTTTTTGCCAAAGCCATCAGTGCAGCTTGGACTTCTTCCTTCAGTATTAATGGTTCTTCATCCTATGCTGCTTCCTGAAATGGTTCCATCTTGGCCAATTCCTGTTGGTACAATGTCTGCATATTCCTTCCATCTCCTTTTGGGCTTGCATCACACGAGAGTTTGCTCATAAAGCCCTTCACTGTTGCGACTTGATATTTGACTTTTTTTTATTCAGTTCTTTCAGTCTGAAAAATGAGGAGAGTGTTCTTCTCTTGGGCTTTCTGACTCCAGTTCCTTGTACATTTATTTAGAATACTTTTGCCTTGTACATGTGACACTGCTTTATCTTCTTGAGCTGCCCTTTGAAATCATCTTTTCAGCTCTCTCACCTCCATTCAGGATTCTTTTTCCCCCTTGTCTTGGCTTCTTTTTTTTTCTAATGCAAGTTGCAGAGTCTCTTCTGCCTTCTGACATTCACTTTGGTATTTTTTTCTTCCCTATCTTTGTCTTCTTTTTTTTTTTTTTAATTAACTTCATGAACGATGACCTTGATGTCATTCCACAACTCCTCTGCTCTTTGGTCATTAGCATTCAATGCACCCAATCTATTTTTTTTTTTCTAAATCTATTCTTAAGGGTTTTTTTAACTGCAGTTGAGATATGTTCCAGGACACATTTTGGTGAAACTTCAGTTTGAACTTGCACAGAGCTGGTGATCTGTCCCAAATTTAGCTTATGGCCTGCTTTTGATTGCTAGTATGGAGCTTCTCCAACTTTGCTTTCCCAGATACAGTCAATCTAATTGCTGTATATCCACTGGGTGAAGTCCCTGTGGATAGTCACCATTTACAGAAGGCTTTGGTGGTTTTTCAAAGTGTTTGTAATATGCAAACTATTCATTGTACAGAATTTTATCATTCGCTTTCCAGCCTCATTTCTGTCACCAAGGCTACGGTTCCCAACCACCGGTCTTTCTTCTTTGTTTCCAGCTTTTGCTTTATAGTCATCCATTATTATAAATGCATCCTGATTGCATTTTGAATCACCACTCATCTGCCAGGTTGTTGTAGAGTGATGTCTTATGTGCTGCTGTGATGCGGGAAGCAATACCACAGGTTTTCACACACCAGCAGGGTCACCCAAGGTAGACAGGTTTCAGTGGAGCTTCTAGACTAAGACAGAGCAAGATGAAGGATTGGCCAACCACTTCTGAAATAGCAGGCTTTCAAAAACTCTATGGACAATGGAAGGACGCTGCTGAATAAAGGTTCAGGTTGGATGGAAGACATGCAAAATATGACAGGGAGAAATGGCTGCTTTCTCAAAGTGGGGTCTACTGGAATGACATGCATGCTTTCAACAAAAGGACCTTCATGTACTGATGAGGCAAGACTCAAAGTGATAAGAAAAAGCCGCAAATATCCAATAATAACTGGAATATGGAATGTATGAAGCATGAATCTAGGAAAATTGGAAGTTGTCAAAACATAAATATAACACATAAAGATTGCCATTCAAAGCACTAGTGTTGTAAAGAACTCTGTTGTTGCTGTTGTGTGTCATTAAGTCAGAACCGAAGCATCGCTGACCCTCCACTGGGTATTCTGAGGCTACACACTGCACAGGAAGAGAGTGTTCATCTCTCTGCCAAGAAGCAGCTAGTCGATTCCAAACTGCTCATATGCAAATTCAAATTAAAATTAAAGGTTAAGTCATATCCACAGGAATGACAATTCGATCTTAAGTCTATCTCCCATGAATTTAAAAACCAATTCAGGAATAGGGTTGAGGCCCTAAACACTAATGAACAAAGTCCAGATAAGCTGTGAAAAGGTATCAAGAATATCTTTCATGAAGAATGCAAAAAGTCATTAAAAAGAAGAAAGAAGAAGGCCAAAATGGATGTCAGAAGAGACTCTGAATATTGCACTAGAGTGTTGAGAAGCCAAAGCAAAGAAATCAAGACGTTAAGGACCTGAATAGAAGGTTTCAAAGGGCTGCTCGGGAAGACAAAGCAAAATATTATAATGTGCAAGGAGCTGGAGTCGGAAAAACAGAAGAGCTGAATTATCTCAGCATTTCTTAAGCTGAAAGAACTAAAGAATAAATCAAGCCACAAGCTGCAATGCTTAAGGATAGAGAATGACTTCATTTCCTCATTTTGTGACTAGACCACAATTTATTTATTCATTCATGTGTTGAAGAGTATTTATTTCCACCTTTTGGCTACTATTCTTAGTAATGCTGCAATGAACACAGGAGGGGTGGGTGTGTGGATGTGTGTGGGGGGGTGGGGTGGGGGCGTGTGTGTGTCCGAGCTGCTGCTTGGAAATTTCTTGGATATATACCAAGAGTGAAACAGTTGAGGGTTACGGATTGAATTATGTCCCCACGAAAGCTATGTTGAACTCATAACCCCTGTACCTGTAAATGTAATCTTGCTTAGGGAAATCAAAGATTTCTTTGAGATGTTATCAGTTAACAGCATCATGCAGAGTAAAATGAGTTCCAATCCCTTCTGAGTTGTATCTTTTTTGAAAAAGAAACAGGGGAATCTATAAACAGACAAGGAATGGCAAGGCTTACTAGCCACCAGGATCTAGGAAAGACTCATGGAACAACTGTTCTACCAAACTCCTCAGAAGGAATTTACTCTGCTGATACCTTCTAGATTGGGACTTCTGTCCTCTAGAACTGTAAAACAATACAGTTCTGTTCCCAAATGATGGTAATTTGTTATGACAACACAAGGAAACAAGGCAACACTGGGTGATGTGGTAATTCTATGTTGAAATTTCTGACAGTCACCAAACTGACTGTACACTCCCACTAGAACTGCAAGGGAATCCAAGCATCCTCATCAGCACTCGGTATTGTTAATTTTTCAGATAACAGCCATCTCAGCGAGTGCGAAGTAGCATTTCACTGTCCTTTTGATTTGCACTGTCTTGATGACTAATGACTTGCAGCATGCTTCCCGTGTACTTATAGGCCATTTTCTGTATTTTTTTTTTAAAAAAGAATGCCACTACCACATAATTAGGAGAGGTGGCATGGATTAGGAAAGAACAGCTTTTGTCTCCGAAAAACTTGGATTCAAACAGAAGCTCATTAGATAAACTTGAACTAGTTATCTTACCACTGAGCTCCCATTTCCTTTTGAAAAACAGCTTCATTGAGATATAACTCATATCTCAATGAACTGGCCCATCATATCTCATCAACTGGCCCATCAAAAGTGTATGATTCAATGCACTGTGTAATCACCACCACAATCTAAGTTTAGAATATTTCCACCGCCCCTAAAAGAAACCCCAACTCATTCACTGTCAATCTCCACTGATTTTCCTTTCAAGGAAAAAGTAGGAATCAGAAGGGTAGGACTACTTAGTTAGCCGACTTAGGAAGAATAAATAAAATATCTCAAAGCCTCAGCACAGTTCGCGGCTCTGAGTAATTACTCATCACATTCCCTTCAAGTATGGCTCGAGATAGAAATGATATAGAAATGAGGAAAAACTGGATGTAATAAGCCCTTTAAAACGATAGAACTGATTCCCTCAAGGCGGTAGACAGGAACACACTTAGGCTCTTAGACGTGGCACATATTCTGCAAGCTGTGGTTCTCCCCCTAAAGCTACTGAGTGAAGTTGGGGTGGGGGGGAAGATCAGGTATCAAATCTCACAGCATGAGTTTGACAATGTCAATACTTGGGGCATAGTTTAGAGCAAAAGTCTCAAAAGCAATGAGATACCCTCAACTCTGCAAAGCAGTAACGAGCGAGACGCAAGTAAGGCAGGTGCTGAGGAGGCAGGAAGAACATCCCAAGTTCATGGCGGACAAGCAGTTGAAACTGTACTGTCATGTTTCTACTTTTCAAAGTGAAAATAAACATGACAGGGGCTCATTTGCCTGTTCAAGCACTTTCCACTTAAAATGACAACTCCTCAAGCTTACCAACTGCAGCCTGAAGTTATAATTGACGACGGTTTCTGTATTATTCCCTTGCCTCGGCAGAAAGCAGAACACAGCACCTACGTTTCAAGACACACGAGAGGTAATAAAGCATAATTATTTCTAATTTATGATTAAGCCATAAATTACAGAAACATTTCACTTCAGTTGGTCAGTTAGAGGCTGGAGGAGGAAGGTAATCAAGTAAGAGGAAGAAATAACAAAAGCCTTTTGCTTTGAGAAAAAATGTCTGACAGTAGGATTTATGAAGATACCACAGTCTCCAAGTTAAATCTCAGCCAAGTCCTGGTTAAGAGCCTTTTAACTACGAGAGGCCTCTGTTCTTCCAGCTCACAGGGCCACAGGCTCCAACGACAAAGCCCATGTT